TAAATATGAATAAGCAATTAGTTTGTGTTTGTAAAACAATGTCTTCTTTATTATTATTATCCTGGGATCGGAAACAGTTTGGGTGTTGAGCCAGTAGACAAAGATGCTATCAAAAAGCCTCCAAGAAACACCACCGATACAATCCTCAGCAAGTCCCTGATTCTAAAAATTATACTTTCGGCAACCATTATCATCGCCGGGACCATCTACGTCTTTTGGAAGGAGGTGAGATTCTAGTAGATCAGCGGTTCTCAACCTATGGGTCGCGACCCCATTTGGGGTTGATCGACCATTTCACGGGGGTCGCCAAGCAAGGTTGTCTGCCATTTTTTCCCCTTTTCCGGTGGGTGCCTTACCTCCCTTGGGCTGGGCCAGCTGGTGGCCCAGCCGGTGGTCGGCCTGCTCCGTCTCTGCCGCTTGCCAGCTACGCCTCGGCCGGCGCAGGAGGCGGCACCACGCATGTGTGGCGCTCCCGGGCAAAGTCCTCGACTTACGATCGGTTGGGTAGTCCTCGACTTACGACCGGTTTAGTCCTCGACTTACGACCGGTTTAGTCCTCGACTTACGACCGGTTGGGGGTCGCAGCATTAAAAAGGTTGAGAACCACTGTAGTAGATCATCACAGACTATCCCTGGTTCCATCATTCTTTGTCGACACCGTTCCTGTATTTTCCCTAATATGCACATTTCGTTGACGTGAATTTTTTTTACTCCCTTAATGCATCCAACTCAGAGATTGAGCCTTCGCTACTCGGCTCTGGATTTGCATTCAGGATGAGGATGTGCAAATTGGCTGAATTTGAACATCCAAACCAAAGTTTTGGTTTTTTTTAAGACATACAAATTACTTTTTCAGTAGCCTTTAGAATAGAATTGAGATGGAAGAGACCTTGAAGGTCTTCTAGTCCAGCCCCCCGGCTCAAGCAGGAGAAACTATACCATCTCAGACAAGTGACTGTCTAGCTCAGGGGTTCTCAACCTTGTCAACTCTAAGACTTGTGGACTTCAACTTCCAGAAGTTGAAGTCCACAATTCTGGGAATTGAAGTCCACAAGTCTTAAAGTTGACAAGGTTAAGAACCCCTGGACTCTAGCTTCTTCTTAAAAACCTCCAGTGATGGAGCGCCCACGATTTCTGGAGGCCAGCTGTTCCACTGGTTAATTGTCCTCATTGTTAGGAAATTTCTCCTTAATTCCAGGTTGCTTCTCTCTTTGGTCAGTTTCCAACCATTCCTCCAGGTCATGGTTGTCCCAAAGGTGATTTTTTTTTTCCCAAAAGGCAAATTCGCTTCCTTGCTTTCTTTCTTGAAGATGTTTCGCTTCTCATCCAAGAAGCTTCTTCAGAAGTGAAGAATCTTCTTGGGTGAGAAGCCAAACATCTTCCAGCAAGAACAAAGACAGTCGAGCTGCCTCTTGATGAAGCACTTTTGGGATTTCCTGGAAGACGTTCCAGCGGTTCCACAAAGGCCCCGCACCCATTTGCACTACTCAGGAGACCCCAAGGGGTGCAGATAAACCTCCAAGCGGCCTCAGTGAGTCTGAGAGTGCTAACGACCAGATGACTGCAAGGATATAATTACTACTTCCATCCTCCACCATTCAGTCAGAACTGAAGAAGCTTCTTGGATGAGAAGCCAAACGTCTTCAAGAGAACAAACACAGAAAGTCCAGTGGCCTTTTGAGAAAAACAAAAGCCCCTTTGGGAGTTTTTGCAGGTGGACATTGGCAAAGTGGCAAAAATGGGCACATTTGTTGCATTCGGCCTTGACCAATCTTCTGGTGACTTGTCTATCAGCAGGTGTAGATTTATGCCCGTGCTATTTATTTGCTTTGGCACTATTACTTTCCTTCTAAACCTTTTTTTTTTTCAAAAGAAGTACAACCTGTTTTCAAGGTGATTGTGACTTTACCAACAAAGGTTCGTTGTGAGAGCCTTCGGTCTTCATGCTGACGCTCGGGTTTCCCCCCCCTTCCCCTCTTTGATAAATACATTTTTACCACGTTGCCTTTCCAGATTCCAGAAAGTGGGATAACGCCCCGGACAACTACAATGACTTTCACTTGCTTTGTTTTCTTTGACCTCTTCAACGCCCTGGCTTGTCGATCTCAGGTGAGAGTGGAAGCTAATTCCGCAGAATCCATTGATAAAGAAAGGAACGTGCAGAGCGTTTGAGCGAGAGGCAGCTTAACTCTTGTTTTCCTTGGGAAGAGATGCAGGACAGAATTGCACTGCAGCCTAAAATGGCTCCTCTTTTAGCTTATGAAAATCCTGTCCAAACTGAGATACTTTGGCAAGTGTTTGTGTGCAAGGTATTCAATCTGAACAGCAGGCACCTACACCCTCCCACTGAACAATTCCTTACTGTTATGCTGTTCTCCCATTTTCCAGTCGGAGGAAAACAATCTCTCCTTTTTTTCCTATGAGTAGATCTTACTGAAGCTAAAATACACACACACTCTCTCTCTCTCTCTGTGTATGTGTGTGTGTGTGTGTGTGTGTGTGAGAGAGAGAGAGAGAGAGAGAGAACGTATACGTGCACAAGCATGCATGCATGTAGATACACATACATATAAGATTAAATTGAATAACTATAAAGTTACAGCATCAAAATGTATATTCGTGCAGGCACAACAACTGGCTTTAAAGTAAGAATTCCATTTTTTTTTATTCGCCTGTTAATCTCCAACATCTTCTAGAATGATTTTTGCTAGAAATGCTATTACGGCACAATGGTTATAACCCTGTTTTCGGTAAACCGAAGGTTGCTGATTGGAAAATTAGGAAAGGTGTATTATTTACAGAGGCAGAGAGAAAGAGACAGGGAGAGAATGTTTCCTGAACTCCCTTTTTTCACTCAGTGCTGTTTCTTTTAATAAGTCCTGTTTCAGTGTTTTTCCAGTCATTTGAGGTAGAAGATTTCTGGGGATGAAATAAAACTCTTGGGGTGAATCAAAGCACCAACAAAATTGGACAGGAACACTCAAGACAGTGTACTGGGAGTGGGGGAATAATTTAAAGTCAAAGCAAGAACAACTTGCTTTGCTACCCTCAACAAAGAGTCACTGTTTCTTTGAAAGAATTTGAACAGGGAACTGCTACCTAATTTTATTTTGAATCAGTAAAAAATAGTGAAAAGCTAGTAAGTCATGGTTTGCTTCACCTTGGCTGATAAGTAAACCATAATCTACTGCAGTCCTTTACTGTACTAAGCCATAAACCGTAGTTAAGCAAGCATGCTTAGCTTTAGATTACAAAGTAAAAGCAAGCAGATTCTGGTTTGGTAGGATACATAACCCCCTTTTAAATACAAAACCACAAATTGGCAATGCAGGAGAAATACTAAATTCACTCAAAATTCTCTCATTGAACTTCCTTATTGATACCAACAATAATAAGAAAAGCCCCTGCTCTTTAAAAAAATACCTGCACTGGCATTGCATTGATTTGCTATCGAATACGTGATACAACCCAATCATCTGACTTGCTAAAAAAATAAATCTGTTTTGGAAAAAACCAGGCTGGGCTCACGTAAGGAAAAAAAAAAAAAAGACCAAATGACTTATTGAATGATTGATCTTGCTCTTTCTCTTCCAGACGAAACTGATAATAGAAATTGGCCTTTTCCGAAACCGCATGTTCTTATATTCTGTGCTGGGATCTATTTTGGGTCAAATGGCCGTTATTTACATCCCTCCGCTGCAGAAGATCTTCCAGACAGAGAATTTAGGCCCGTTGGGTAAGTCTCAGAGCTACCCTTTCGAAGGAGGATTTCAATCTTACTAAATAAAAATAAGCTCTCGGTTATAGATTGTCGGGGCCCTAATAACACGGTCTGCAAAATTCAGCTCATGAACATCAGGAATGGAAGGAAGGAAGCTCGTTTTGAAAACTGTACGTCTTTTGTTTTCAACACGTCGAAATGGCCACCTTCAAAAAAACGTTAACCATGAAAATTACGAGGTTTGGGGGACACATCTCCTCCTCTGGAAAAAAAAATTCACCGCCAACCCTTCCATGTTCATGTCAGCATCTTGATGGCTCCCATTAACTGTGAGAAAGTAGTCCTTCAAAATGCAATTCCAAGGGAACAGAGAGATGATTCTCAGGGGCTAACCGATGCCCCCTTGGTGTTTTGCTGTCCATGTTTAGTAACCCTTTCATTTCCTTCTCTTGACAGATCTGTTGTTCCTCACCGCCCTCGCGTCTTCTGTCTTCATCTTCTCAGAACTGGTCAAAACGTGCGAGAAATATTGCTGCAGGCCCAAGGCAGATCACAAGCCGCTGGAAATGGTCTGATGGAACAGAACGGCGCAAGGGAAGAGACCCTGGGGCATTGGGCAAAGAGACGCTGCCAAAGGAACGGTCAAATAAGAGACAGCGTAGCCCTCAGCTGGACTGGGAAAGGTGTTCAAAGACACCCTGCCTGATTTCTTGGACTATAAAGGAGGCAGCAGAAGATCTGCATGTTCAGGCTTGCAATGTGGCCTCACAACAAAGTGGAAATAGCTCATCGGATCGTGGTTCCTATCTGGTTAACCTGGCATGGCTGGAACCTTGCCCTCAATTGATTTCAAGGGAACGGTTGGATTCTCCAATTCTACAGTTCTACCATGGGACTATTTGCGTCTCTTCTACATCTCTGATTGCCCCCAACTCTATCCAGACCGATCCGTTGTTGTTGTTTTTAACCATCCGGTCCTGCAAAAATGACGCCTGGATTCTATCTAGTCATCCGACAATTGTGTCCCCTCCCCTTCAAAATTGAGGAATTGCCTGCCTTTATTTATTTTAAGATGTAATAAAAACACTTCTTAATAAAGTCTGCCTTGGTGTCTTCTGGGATGGGGGTCAATGGGATATTGCGATTTTGGTGTTCAATTAGGATTGTAAAAAAACGGTGGCTGGAGTCACACATTAACAGTCTGCTTTTTTTGATGCCCCACGAAGCTGGAAATTCACAGCCAACATTTGTCCAGTCTCTAAAAAAGACGCATGCTGAATCTGATCCACTTGTTTATATTGCTGTGATTAATTCAGATATGAAATCCTGATTTCCAAATATGGCACTTCAACAAACCCAAAATACGTTTTTATGCAGCATTTAAATTTTCCCAACGAAATAGGGCTCAATTTGCATGGAAGACGTTGAGTTTTGAGGACTCTGTGAGTGAACTGGGATCCCTCCAAGGAATATTTTTCTACCAGTAATCTGGAAGTCCCCTTGGGTGGGCCCCCTTGAGCCCAAAATAAATGTGAATAATGTGAAAAGAAGAAAAAGGAGGTCCTGAATTTAGTACAATACAGGCCCAATCCCTGGAAAAGAAAACCCTGAAGATAATACGTCCAAAGTTCGTACAGACACCAATTGTTATTTAACGGAATCTCGTCACATTTAAAAGATGGGGCAACGGATACCGACGTGTGGAAAATAGAAAGCTCGGAAGGTGTTCCAGCAAAATCCTGGTCAGGCTTGGTGGGAAAAAATATCTGAGATGAGATGTTAATTGTCTCCTTCTTCATCTTCAGGGGGTTCCCGAAACCCATCACTCTGGCGGCTTTTCCCCATCATCTCTAGCAAAGCTTGGGCCTCGGGATCGCTGTCTAAGATGCTCTTCTGCCCCTTTCCCTAAAGCCAAACCCAGAAGAGAAATTGGGGGACAAAAAGACACAACCACAGCCGAGGGTGGGCAGGTCTGGGTTGCAACCCCCCCCCCAAGCGATTGTGTTTGATCCTGAAACTTCATCTAAGGAAGTTGGGTGGATTCCTTGTTCCTCCTACCGCTTGGCACACATGGAAAGGTTTTGCTTTGACCTAATCAGTGAAACAGGTTAGGTCAGATGAGAGAGCTGCCCCAGAAAGCAAATTTATGTTAGTTTCTGACTGGTAAGTCTCTTGAAGCTGGGCCATCGCGGGGGAGGAAGGAATCAAAGAGCACTGGGGTTTTTTTCCAAGTTGTTCAAAAGAAAGAGAAAATACAACTGCTAAGCCACAGATCAATATATACACAGCCGCCCACTTGTGTTAAGATCTTAGAAACTGAATTCCTGAGAATTTAAGAGTCAATGTCCTGTATTAGCCTATTTGCCTTGCTAGGAGTGGAGCTGCATGGATGGAATATGCGTTGAATAAGCACAATACTAAGCCCAGGTTAGCAAAACACTTCAACGGGCTACGGGCAAGCAAGTCAACCCTGTGCTGATTGAAGCTGATGGGCTGGTTCACCCCATGAGCCAAGGGCTAGATAAACCCAATACGTTAGACCACAAATTATCCTTTTACATTGATTGATTGATTGATTGACTGGTTTATAAAATGTATAGGCCTCCCATCTTAGCTCAGGGTAATCCTGGGCAGCTTACAACCATAAGCTTTAATCTAAGTTGATGCCTGTGGTGACAAGTTAGGAGGCAGCTAAACAGGGCTGGACCTGGTTAGTAGGTAAATAGGAAACCACCAAGAAATCCCAGGCCTTTTCAATCCACTCTGATAAATCCTCCTTGTTCTTGCTCAAATAGTATTCCCTAACCTAGGAAAGCAAAGGATTTGCATATTCAAGAGTTACTTTCATCCTGGAAAAGGCCAATCGGAGCTTACATCCTCGTGGCAACTGCAACCACCTGCCAAACAGGCCCGGGTTGAAGTCAGACATGCTTAAGGAGGCCTCTGTAATTCCCCACTTCCTCCATTCCCTGTCAATCATTCTGTCTTGTGTTCACCCTGTTTCTCTCCCACGGGCCACTCAGAGACACCAAGGACACCACAGAGCCCCCAAGACCTATCCCCTCCTTCTCTTCCTAACTTGGTCATGTGTTTGGCTGACTTCCATGCAACCCATCCTGAGGATCTTTCCCATCTTCTCTGCAGGACCCTTTCAGCCTCTCCCCAGGTGCAAACGAGAAGCCCAAACTTCTGACTCGTGGATTTCAAGCCCTACTTTGGGGCAGGTAACTCTTGGCCCAACAGGAAGTTTCCATCAGCATCTAAGGTGGCTTTGCTTGGAATGGCAAGACTTACATTTTTGGCTTCAGGGAAGTCTCCCACGGCCCACACCTCCATGGAATCCAGCAGGAAGTTCTCCTTGGCTGACAGCTGAGGGCTGTTGTAGGTGGTGCACCGGGGCTTGGCTTTGCTGTGGCCTTGCCCATAGTTACTGTCCACCCAGAGGCCAAAGTATTCATGTTGCCCTCCCATGCCCTGGAAGGAAAAGGAACAGTCTAGTGTAAAGACTACAGACATGCCTGTGTTGGTGTAATAAAAGGTTGGAGAATGCTAGAATGAGCCTCCAATCCATGGGGACACCTGCAGGACCAATTACAGAGGTGTGAAAAGTGGTCCTAAGTCCCTTTTTTTTCCAGAGCCATTGTAACTCCGGTTGCTGAATGAAATGTTGTAACTTGAGGACTACCTATAATCTATTTTTTTTTTAAAAAAGAGAGCTAAGCACAAAAGCCCTCTCCTGTGGCTGGATGCACTTCGAAAATGATTGTGAAGAAGCACTTTGGACCTCTGCTACTCATTAAAGCAGCCTGGCCTGTCTGGGGGTCACATCTGATTTTTGTGGAAGTTGGGGCACCTTGTTCTCACACTGGCAAGGGTGCTGAAGGTCACAGCGGAGAGATGTGGCATTTGGGCAAAGTTCAAAATGAACCTTTTGAATTCAGGGGTCTGTCTCCAACCTTGGCCACTCTGTGGACTTCAACTCCCAGAATTCCTCAGCCAGCATGTAAAGTCGCCACGGTTGAAGACCTCCGTTTTGACACCATTTCAAAGCATGCGTAGCTGTGCAAGCCATCGTGGATAAAGCCTTGGGGGGGGGCACAGCAAACTGGAACGGACCACCGTTTGTTACTCACAAGTCCGTTCGGCATGGTCTGCTGCCCGTGGTTGAGGTACATGTAATGGTTATTGTAGCCACTGTAGGTGAACACGGCAAGCGAGGGAGAAATGGAAAACAAAAAACACGTGTTGTTTCCTGTAAGTGAGAAAGGAAGGAAGAGTTAGGGACCAGAGAGAGGAAAGCATCAAGATTCATCCCAGCAGAACCCTAACTGGAAAAAGTTAAGCTGCTAGTCCTCATTCATTTCCCTTTTTTTTTTCCTCCTAATCTGTGGGGGGGGATCATAAACTAAGAGAAGACTGCCACCTAGTGGATAGCGAGAGCTATCACACTCTTTGTATGCATGTGTATTATCTACGTATCTACCACTAAAACTCTCATTGTGAGCTATCTGTTTGTCTGTTTGTGCCCTCAAGAGACCCCAAAAGGTGCATCAACATACTTAATCAACATACTTAAAATCCACCTCAAGGATGCAACGAAATGGCTGGGAAAATTATTTTATGTGGTCTAATTTATGCATAATTCTGCAGACCACGGGTGGGGGGGGAGCAACTTTCTTTCACCTCACCTTGAATTTCAAAGACCTCACCTTGAATTTCAAGGCCCTCACCTTGAAACTGGGGCTTCACTTCCCAAGAGCAGGAGGCAAACCCGCCAAAGATGTAGCCGTCGGTGTCCTTCAGCACCAGAAGGCAGGGACCTTTGTTGACAATATGGCCGCACAGCTGCGTAAAGCTCTCCCCGTGAACCCGGGAGGCGAAGAGCAGCTGCCACCGATCCCGAAGTTCGGAAGGCAGGTGGGCATTGAGGTAGATGATGGAAGGGACGTCCAGGAGGCTGACCAAGGCCGTCCCTTGCAGGCCTCTGCATTCCGGCAGCAGATGGAGGATCTCGCTGGCTTCGTCGGAGAGAGGCTGGAGGAGGAGCAGGCCCTGCTGAAGCACCACCTTGAGGAAGGTGGAGATCTGTGGGACTCGGAAAAGCCAATCTTCAATGCTCTTTTGGTCACAGGTGGCATCCAGGGCAGAGGCTCCCTCCATCTTCTTCCCCTCTGAAGCAAGAAACGTAGGTTTGGCCAGGGCCAAATCAGAATATGGCAAGAGGGAGCGTACCCACACCACACACAACCCCAAATTATTAGGCTTTCCTCAACTTCGGCAACTTCAGCTCCCAGAATTCCCCGGCCTCAGAGTGGACTTGACGTAAGGCCATAATGGACCCTGGAACTTCCATCGTAAGTCAATTGTAAATTGAGGTTCCCCACGTGACTCGCCTGATTTTTGCACTTTTTCTTTTTGGGGTGTAAAGTGAACGCAGCGGTCGGGAACCGAACACCCGTTATTAGTTCCTTCAGGTTTTTTTTTTTTTTTTTTTGGTTTGTTTTTTTGGGTGGTAAAGACTTAAAATAGACAAAATGTTTCCTAAAAACCACAGGGGTGGTTGGGTGTGCTGCCGCTGAAACTCCAGAACTGGGTTGTAAATATCTTCGGATGTCATAACCACTTAACAACAGTGACCCCCCCCCAAAAAAAGGTTGTAAAATGGGACAAAATTCACTTAACTATCCTACTTAGCAGCGGAAATGTTGGGCTCGTAAGTCGAGGGATGTAAGTCAGAAAACTTATATGAGCCGAGGTAGCGCAGCAGTTAAGAGTGCAGTACTGCAGGCCACTTTAGCTGACTGTGTTCAGCAGGTCAGCGGTTCAAATCTCACCGGCTCAAGGTTGACTCAGCCTTCCATCCTTCCGGGGTAGGTAAAATGAGGACCCAGATTGTTGGGGGCAATGTAAATATATAGATATACATTGCTTACTGGTGTACACCGCTTAGAGAGTGCTTGCACTTAAAGCGGTATATAAGTCTCATAAATAAATAAATAAATAAATAAAACTGTGCGAAAAAAGCCTTTGTTGTACGTCCTCGTTTTGTGTCGCCCAGGTCACACTCACCTGCAGATCTCAGCTCAGAGACCAGCTGAGTAGCCAAGGCTTTTACGCTGGCGACGGAGTTATTCAGCTTCTTTGGCTTCCACCCTTTCAGCAACTTCCTGTAGTTTAGCACGTGAACCACAGAGCTGATCAAGTCTCCTGCAAACTTCAAGGAAATAAGGAGGGTTTTTAAAGGCGTCGGATGGTTTGCTTCTGACAAGAAATCCTCCCATAAGGAGCGAAAACTGCTTATCTGAAAGGACGATGGTGATTTTCTGACATTTTTTTTTTAACCTTCATATAACATTTTATGTGCTGTATTGTCCACCTACTTTATACCAGCTCTACATTTGTGTCGGTATGTATAATGTGCTTTATTAGCGTTGCGTTATCGATGACCGCATGAGAAGAGGCCGTATGCTGAATGAAGAAATAAACCTCACCTTTCCCCTGAACGCAAACAAGGTGTTGGTCGACTTACCTCTAGGATCTGGCTTCCCTTGACGGTGTTCCGAGCATCTGAGACCATCTTCAGGACAATCCCACACTTTTCCTGGGCGTTGCCTTTGAAGAGGGTGGAGGTAAAGACCACAAACTGCTCCTTGGCCAGCCCCGTGCTGGGCTCTGGGTCTCCTGGATGCTTCTGGTGGGTCTCCTGGATGCTTCTCATCCCACTGTACAGCCTCGTAACCATGGATGGGGGCAGAGAGTCCTTGACGTAGGCCTGGGAAAAGTACCAAAGGCAGTGATGGTGAACCTTTTAGAGACCGAGTGTGCAAATTGCAACCCAAAACCCACTTATGCATCGTCGGGTGCCGGGTGGATGTAGCCCATTGGGTGGGCGTGGCTGCAGTGGTAACGGCAGACTGGGTGGGACTCAAAAGTTAAATCAATCAATTCCAACTTTGCGAGATCTTTTTTTTTCCCGTGAGAAGTTGAAATTGACTGATTGATTGAACCTTTTTTTTTTTTTGACACGGCAGCGGAGGCCTAAAGCGAAAAGGTTTTATAAAACCCAGCTGAAGGCCTAGGACTGGGGCGACGGCGCACGTGCCCACAGAGAGGGCTCTGAGTGCCGCCTTTGGCACCCGTGCCATAGGTTCGCCACCACTGACCAAAGGCATCAAGGGAAATACACCCAGTCCTCGACGCTTCGTTTAGTGACCGCTCAAAGTTACAACAGCACTGAAAAAAAAAGGGACTTATGGCCGTTTCTCACACTTGCGACCGCTGCAGCCTCCCCAGGGTCAAAATCCAGACGCTTGGCAACTGGCTCCTATTTATGACGGTCGCAGGGTCCTGGATTGTCACGTGATCCTATTTTGCGACCGTTTGACAAGCAAAGTCAGTGGGGGAAGCCGGATTCACTTAATTTAACCAATTTAACAACTGCTGGGATTCCCTTCATAGCTGCGTGAAGAAAGGTTATAAAATGGGGCAAAATTTACTTCACAATGGTCTCGCTTAGCCACAGAAATGTTGGGTTTAATGGTGGCCGTTAAGAAGTAGCAGATGAACAAGACCCTAGACCAGCTCCTCTGACGTGGGCCAGAAGCCAAGTCACAGCCCTACCTACCTCACAGAATTGTTGTTGTGAGAAAAAAGAGGAGAAAGGAGCATTATGATGTTGCCGCCTTGAGTGACTTATAAGGTAATAAAGGCAGGGTTAAAAAAAAATCTAATAAATAAACGAATTACAGGTAATCCTCGACTTACGACTGTAAGGGAGCTTGCCCATTGCTCACTTACCTTGAGTGCTTCAAGGCTCACCCTGGTCTGTGCCTTTTTCCCCATCTTTACGACGACGGCTTCCTCCGCTCCAGATAAGGCGCTAAAAACGCCGTCGATGTCGGCCACTTCATCAGAAAGAAACCTGGAGAGGTGTTTCTGGTAAGAGCTGTTGCTTTCCACGTTGCCCATTTTCCTTCAGCTGGCGGTGAAATCCTGCCAGAAATCGGGAAAATAAAATTAAAAAAATAAGGAGAGGCAAGTGAGCAAAACAGCAGCCAGCTCGGAGGGACTCAGCCCTGCCAGGGCATGGGGGGAATCAAGCAGAGGGAGAAAACAGTGGGTTGCAGAGGGACACCGAGATGGCCTTGACAGAGGTATTCAGTAGCCTTTGGGTCAGCGGTTGGAACATGATTTTTTTTTTAAAATTAAACAAGCTCCAGTGACAGATATACAAATTTTAAACCCTCAAAGTTTCCCAAGGATTAATTATTCTACAGCCAAAAAACATGTCAAAGAAAAACCACATGAGAAATATCAGGAATAATAAAATATATATACAATGAATGCTGCCTATCTCTGCTTGCATAATGAAGTTAAATTTCTGACAGTTTTCCAGAAACAAGAAGGCATTTACCTCCTTTTTAAAAATAAGAGAAGAGCCTTCACAAGGCAATTGCTTTTCCTTCTTTTCTCGGTGTGACTCAAGTCAAGATTTGCCCAGAATATGCAGGAATTTAACGGCTGAAATATGGCTCCTTTATTTTCTCATCTCTTCAAACAAGCACGTCTTGGCCGGTGGTAGCCTGATGTTCATGGACCAGGAACCTAGTAAAGAAAAAAAACCACAGCCTTTCTAAGCACATCACAAGCCACCAGGTTTAGCTTTCTGATTTCAGCAGTGTATAAATAGCTGCTGTTGTTCAAACAATTTATGCTTCTCCTTGGTGGCTGCACCAATTTTTTAAACAGATGTAAAACTGAAAGCTGGAAAGTAGCATCTGAGAGGCAGAGAAAGCAGACATGAGAGTAGAAGTTTTTAAACTTGGTAACTTTTAAGATGGGTGGATTCCAATGTATTTATGAGGGTTGCGACATCCTGGGGATCACATGATCACCTTTCGCAGCCTGTTTTCAACAAGCAAGGTCAATGGATTTGCTTAATGACAGCATAATTCACTTAAAAACTTAACCATGGCAAAAAAAAAATCATAAAATCAGATGCAATTCCCTTAACAATTCCCTTGCTATCTATCCTCTGTCTATATCTAACTACATTTATATGCACATATACAAACATTAAAAAAAACACCAGCTTTTGAGCTGCAGAGTCCAGCTTCTCCATGCCCCTGATGGAAGGGAATTGCAATATATACAAAAATAAATATAAATATTTGGCTTGAACTCGGGATTACAAGGCACTAGATGCAAAAAAAACATTTTTAAGAGAAACAGGGCTGCCCAACGCCTCCAAACCTTTGGCTCCCACAGACCAACCCAGCTTTCCTGCAAAAAGAAATGTTATGTTTACATTTTTTAAAAAATCATTTTTCTTCCCTGTTTTACTGCAACCCAGAGTCGCCCCACTGCAAGATGGGCAGCCACTGACTTTAACACATAAAATAAAATCTGCCAAAAAAGAGCACAAAGGGAGAGAAAGTCGGAGGGGGGCAGGGGGAGCCTTAAGCAAGCAGCCCAAAGTGCAAGGAGGGGCAGGAAAAGTTGACTGATTTGCCCAGCGCTTGGGCAAGGAATGCAACTGCTCTGTCTCAGGCTGGCCTACCTTGCAAGGTTGTTGTGCAAAGAAAAAGGGGGGGAAAGAGGTGGAAGTTTCCTTTTTACCAAAAACATTCAAAAAGAACATACCTATTTGGTCTAACCAAGCCTGGAGAACTTGGAAAGGGAAATGAGAAAGGAAAAAAAAATAAGGCGCCTCCCCTTTATATTCATGATATATTAATATGCATGAGGCTCATGAATATCAATGAGGGCCACCCACCATGCCTCGCGCCGCGCATGGATAATAATGGCGGCACCGTGCGGACTCCGCCCCCTCCGTCAAGGCCGCGACTTCGCGGCAGCCGCCGCCTCGCTTCGTAGAGGCGGTGCCGGAGGCCCGGAGGGATCCCCGATGCTCGATTTCCCTCAGCGGCCTCGCCGCGGCGCCGTCCCGGCCGCCGCCCTCAGCTTTGAGCAGCCGCTGGCTGCGGCTCCGCCCCCGGCCCGCTTGAGCAACAGAGCACTCAGCCAAGAGGAGCGTGGAGAACCTAGGAGGCCGGTTTTGAAGGTGACGTCACCGCCTCCGTCACCCATACGGCTTAGAGCGCCTCAGAAGCGGAGTTCGCGTGCTGCATATGTGCCATTCTAGCCATCAGCAGCTCTGTGCTAAGAAACCCTCCTGGGAGCTTTGTGCAGTCATGCCGGAAGTGAAAGGCGAAGGGTTTTGACTTTCTAGCTTTTGTGCTCTACGGTGTGGAGGTTTAGGAGAGACGTTCCTAAGCGAGCGCCCTCCTGTGGAAGGAGCGTCCTCTTCAGCGCCCGCCCAACTCGGCTGTCGCAGCCAATGAGAACTCTCCTACGGGAGAGACGGGCAAAAGCCTCAAAGGTGGGCGTTGAAGTGGTGAGTTCGAGTCCCAGTTGTTCCCAGAGGAAAGTTTTTTTTTAAAAAAAAATAAATAAATTATATTTATATTTATAAGATATTTTATTTATTTTATTTTTCCTGGAGGTTTTTAATTCTGTGCCTTTCCATCCGGATCATACCTGACTTTCTGCTGCTACAACAATGCATGCCATTAGGAGAGCTGGTTGCAAAAGACAAACTGCATTTTAATGACACTCTTCCAGCTGGTTGGACTACCAATGCAAAAAAAAAAAAAAAAACAAAAAAAAAAAAACCAAGCCCTTCAAAATGGAGTGATTAGGCTTTGCCATTGGCTGTTGCCTTTTCCAGATCAGCCTCCCCCGCCTTAATCAACCCTCCAGTGATGCAACAGGGTGGCAGCTTGGCTGGGTGTGAATAAAATTGCCCAGGATGGAGCCACCCGCCTTGTGCTTTTTGGGCTGATGCCCACACGATGGCAGTGGGATGTTTATTAACGCACAACTTGTTCCAGAAGAAAAACCAGCCTTTTTATTGTGTGACCGGCTGTTCAGAGGCGATGAAAGGAGCATTGTGCAACAAACAAGCAGGCTTGCGCTGTTTCCCCTCTTGAGTTCCACATTGATCGCCTTGAAGAAGCGATTTCTGCAGTCAAAATCATCGCCTTCCACATTTTTCATTGTTGTGCAATGCCACAAAGATCTGGGCTGTGTTTCTGTGCGATGCAATTGATGCCAAGGAGAACACTGGGTTTATATCACAATCCCTTTTGACTCGGCCTCAAAAGAAGTGCAGCTTGAGTTGGGAAATCAGACTCAGAGGGAGAGAATAAGATCAGAACTAGCAAGTTTTTCCTGAACCTACTTTTTCCACCCCTTGGGAATAAGAGATGTGATGAACTAAATTAGGAGCACTGCCTGCAACTGCAGTTGAAATACAAATACAAATCAGATATCCAGATTTACCAGATCCTCTGCATGCATTGCCCCTGTATCTATGTAGGACAGACAGGGAGGAAACTAACCATCATTGTACAAGAACATGAGCGAGTGATCAGATGAGGAGACCCAAACTCATGTAAGGAGCCACCTCAATTTTACATCTTAAGAAGACAGAACTCTTGGAATGTCTCTTCCAACAGGAATCTTCATTAAGAGAAACCGATTGCAGGCATGCTAGACATGATCTGGGGAATCCTCTCCCACCATTCAATGTTCTTCCGGGCGATTCAATCCGTCAGTCTGCTCCGTCGGCACAATCACTCATTCTCTCTTTTCCCAGATCCCAGGCGTTGCATTTCCCCCCCTCCCCACTTTTCCCTCACTGCCGGCAAAGGGGAGAACTTCAGAGGGAGTTGGATGAAAGGCGATGGCCTCATTGTTATGGTTAGTCCTCTCGAAGAGAATAAACAACCGGTCACTTTGTAGTTAATGAAGGAAATGAGAGTCATAAAAAAACCCATGCTTACCCTCCTCCCCTTCCGTAGTATGACAGAATCCAGAAGAGAGTAAGAATTGGTTTTATATCAGAGTAGGTAGATAGAAATGAAATATAATTGGATTCTGACAGGTAGCCTCACATTGCAATGAACAAAGTCATGCATTCCATTTTGCAGCTATTAAGATTGTTGGCTGAGCAGGGACAAAAATAGCCAGAGAAACAATTGAAGCCTGGGAAACAGACCATTTGTCAATTAATGGGAGGGTTGATTTACCACCAGCTTATCAGGTATTTAAGAGCTAAGGAGGCAACAGCACAAAAAACGATCAATGACTTAACTGGCCATCAACACCCCAATCAACAACTAAAAGCCACATACAACCAGACACCACATAAATACTACGCATAAAACAATCCAGTGCACACATCCTGGAGACTGGGAAGTTCCCGGAAGATGGCCTCCAGCATGAGTCCAGAAGCTCAGAAGAACCGTTGGTTCCAGTGACTGACTCAGATTGGATCCCGCCATAGCCAGATTGTCAGATCCCAGAAGCTACTTATGAATTCATACATATCCCCTAAGACAGATAGTCCTCAACTTAACAACCATAACTCAACCCACAGTTTTGGTCATCTTTTGTGATGGTCATAAAAATGGATCGTCGTGTGACTGTGACCGATTTTACGAGCTTTTAAGTGGCAGTCATTAAGCAATACCATGATCATAAGCTGAACCCTATGATTGTTCAACAAACCTACTATTTGTTATGGTGCTTGTTTGTTTTTCCAAAACCAGAACTAAATACTTTCAGGAACGGGGGGAATCGCAATTACCTAACCGAGGGATTCTACAAACAGCAGTAAATGTGGGCTGTTTCTGGGCACTCAAAAATGTTATGTGAACGGGGAGATGGGGGCGTGTCATGTATGAATGTTGGAACTTCAAATCTGGCTGGTGAGTCCCTTTTGGGGGGTCGTAACATCAAACAGACACTTAATAATAGTCTCAAAAATAATGTTGCAAAATCAACTCAGCCAGGTGGGTAACCTGCCTTTAAAATTGTCATGACTTATGACTGTAAGGGGCAGGCTCCATTACAGTCGTAAGTCAAGGACTATCTTTCCATGCACATTATTTAAGGGGGAGGGAGAAACCTTCCTTATAAGGAAAAAAAGAATTGCATTGCACACCTGAGTCAAGAAAACGTAGCGATCCAAACCCACCCATCAGAAGCTGAGCTTTCAGCTTCTGCCTCTGGCAATTTAAGTTTCTTGACCACCACCGGCTAAATAAATTTGACTCACCGGTGGATTTAGATTGCAGCAAAGCTTCTTAATTTATTATTGCTTTGGTTTTTGTTTTTTGTTTTTTCCCCTTTCACCATAAAAGGCAAGCTTTCCCTCTGCTTGGCTCCCACTGGCCCACTTCGATCTGCACAGTCATCTTCCTGCGGTTTGGTTTTTGGCTCAGCCAAGGTTCCCTTTGACTGAAGGCTTACCTGATTCACTGACATTCCTTCTGCAAACGTGTTGACCATATATGGCTACGAAGCCTGAAGAAGACGCTTTTGTTCTGAGCTGAATCAGAAGCTGGTCGTCCCCTGAAGCATCAGCCAGTCCCGGGAAAAGAGATCTCGGGTTTTTTTCCCCACACAGGGTTATATTTGGCTTTGCTGACCAGCAAAAGGCTGACGTCTCAGCAATGTAGGGCAAGCCCTCCACCTTTCTCTTGGGGACCTTTGAACTCTCTTTAAATTGCTAAACAAATGGGGGGGGGGGAAATTCACCATTTTGAAATAGAAAACCTGAGTGAAGCCGGAGTGTCGATTCCAAAATAAGCATTTTGTCCACCCTGTAAATACATCTGGGCAGTTCTTGACTTTCCACCACAAAGTTGGAAAGTGCATGCGTGGACCTCTATTCAACGAAGACGTCTGTAGGGCCGGTTATAGATGGTCCTTAGCTTACGACAATTGAGCACCACATTTCTGTCACTAAGTGAGACAGCTGTTAAGTGAATTTTGCCCCATTTTACCATCTTTCTTGCCAGCGCAGCGAAGTGATTCCCGATCCCGGGACCCTCCCGGGACGCTGCAGCCGTCATTAGTACCGGTCAGTTGCCAAGCGTTCGAATTTTGATCACATGATTGTGGGGATGCTCCAGTGGTTTTAAGTGTGAAAATAAGTCACTTTTTCCAGTGCTTGTTGTAACTTCCAACAATCACTAAACAAAGGGTTGTAAGTCAAGGACTATCTGGGACAATCCACAGTGATGTCCACAGCCGTGTGTTGTCCATTGTGCAACCTGGATGCTTCGTGTGTGAAACAGCCCTCGTTCGGAAGGAATGCAGTGTGTTGTCCACAGCATAAGCTGGATGCTCCGTGTGTGAAACAGCCCTTGATCTCCTGAAGGAACAGAAGATTTTAGATCCAGTTTTCCTAACAGAGTTATTAATGGCCAGCACTAAATGCATCTTCTAAGCCTATTAATTCATAGCACACCGCAGCGAAGGCTGAATCAATAGCAGATTGAAGAGTGGGGGGGGGAATAAGAACTGAGCAGGCCAGCTGCTTTAAATAACTCAGTGTTTTTGAGGGGTTTCCGCTGTTTAATCAGGGCCTGAAGCAAGCTGACATCCTTCCCTTGGGGATGAAGTCAATGGATTGCACTTTCATTCTGACTGTTAGAACAGAAAAAGCAGAACCCAAATAGAGGCTAGATCAGTGGCCCTCAACCTTTTTAATGTCGCGACCCCCAAGTCCACGGATCATGAAGGGACCATAGTTGCCCACCCCTGTTCTGCATATATCTTCCTTTTGAAGTGGCTGGTCTTCACTTTCATGAAGACCAGAAAATTTTTGCAATGCAGCAGCTAGACACATGCATCACTACCTCTAGCTCAGTGGTTCTCAACCTTTTTAATGCCGCGACCCCCAACCGGTCGTAAGTCAAGGACTACTCAACCGGTCGTAAGTCGAGGACTATTCAACGGGTGCAGCACCGTTTGCAGAATGGGACTTTTGGCGGGCTCAGCAGGGCAGAGACAGCCTGGACAATTCCTATTGGCTTTTGAAAGCCAATGGAATTAGACTCTATTCAAGAGAGTCTATTCTATTGGCTTTCAAAAGCCAATAGAATAAAAGGGAGTAGCACAGCTAAGGAAAAGGGGGGGAAAATGGCGGACTGCGTTGTTTGGCGACCCCCGTGAAATGGTCGTTCGACCCCAAATGGGGTCCCGACCCACAGGTTGAGAACCACTGGGCTAGATCTCTGCATGCAAGGCCCTTGACTTCATCTATAAGCTATAATGTAAACTTGGAGGGATTGGTACCCACTTGCCAATTGATCCATAATGCCAGAGCATTGCAGCTTAATCCCAGCGACGTTTTTTTAAAAAGCAACTGGACTTCCTTGGTATTTCCCCCCCCCCTTGAAAACGTTACACTTCCTTCTGAGCTGAAGTTCTCCACAGCTGAGCAAGGACCACACATATTTCATAAGATGCCTTTAATGTTAGCCTGGGCTAA